ATCCATAATAGGATAATTAGATTACCAGTGAAATTCCATCAGTGGAGAGAATGCGTGGTGTTGACGAAATCTCCGATAGCCTCAGAGCAGATCCGGACCTGCGCCGGTTTGAACTCACCCCGTGCTCAGCACTAAGCCCAATGGCGTCCCTACCATCAATGGACGAACGTTTTAACAAACAACAGAGCGGCTCTGACTTAGCCCGGGCTAATGCCAAGTTTCAGATCTTGGATCAAACGCAGTGCGGTCGTTGCGTCCAGCCACACCGAATCGACCCCCACAACGCCTTGACCTTCAGAACAGAGAAGGGTTCTGCAACGCATCCATAAAACGGGTAGGGTGGTATAAGGCTGCTGAAGTGTGTGGGATGGAATCATCTAGAAAAGTGACTTGTCAAAAACTTCAATTTCAGCTTTGCAACGTAATTAATTCCGTGACGGGTTGCACGTTGCCGGCATTTCTATGTATAGTACAATCGTGCAAAGACGTCTTATACGGGATAGGGCTTCGTCAATATCCGAGAAGTAGGATGACATGAGGATAAGAAAAAATCACTGAGGATGGAGAATAGATGCCCTAATGCCACATTATCACAAGCACCCTCCAACACCATTTGGTATGTCGATTACCCTATGTCCCTCCCGCGTGCTCATGTACTCGTAGGCTCGACGAATAGCTTCCCTTCAAACCCAGTTGTAAAACAAGATAGAATGTAACTACTTATTTTTTTTTTTAAACATGTTCATGGCGTTGTTGGACACGGGGTTCCGTTGGAGCGGTCACAACCTCGTCGGCATAGCCTTGCAAATGTCTGTCTTTTATAACTTCGCCGTAGTGGAACATCACCTACTATAGGCATTATATAGATCGTGTTTTTCCACACTAAAAAGCATACAGTCTAGGAACTCAATCTTCATCGGGGCATCTTCAACCTGCTATTTTAATTTAATACTCTCTGAAGTTCGTGCAGAAAGGATATGATGTCTAGCAGGCTCATTGTCCTGTTTGAAGGACATGGTGCATTGTTTCTTGACTCACAGATGGTTGCGTATTTTGAGGCAATGGGAAGAGTAGACAGACCAAAAAAAGGTGTATTCACAGTCTCAAATAAGGACAGACAGTTGGGTCATCTTCGAGTTCCATAGACGCATTCAACTTGATAGAATACCCCGATAGCAAAGCGAGCTCAATACACTCGGATATACCCATCTCAATTTACCAACACGTTCTTCCCAGCAATTAAAGGTGAAGCTTTTTGACTCCTCGGATTCAGATTAGGTACCCTATACTCATATCTCGGGGTAAATCTTGAGGGGCAGTACCCATACTGGCTGGAACAAAGTGGGAGAAAATTACCTACCCTGAAGATATACGAATCGAGGGCTGCTCGCTAAGTGTATCCAGAAGATAGATAGTTTCACAAACCCTTAACTCAGCGATCCAGGCTCTAGCATAGATAAATATCCGGTTAAAAGCTTTGAAGGAATTGAGTACCATGAAGTGCTCTTCATTTGAAGACCGTAGATTGTATATGCACCGGGATAGTCGAGTACTGGAATTACTTGTAGTGTGGAGTTGATGCCTTAGCAAAACTTCCTTTATGTAATTAGCGGTTAAGCAGCTTGAGTGAGATCATAGACCACGCGCAAGCCCATCCATATCGTATCCAACTCGGTCATCGCTGGTCTTTGTTGCCCCATTGTTCCAGGGAAGTCTTCAGACGAAGCTGAGTGGGAATATATGGATGAGATTTTATGTTCTCATGCTTCTAGTGTTAGTAGCATCTCGACTAGATATTGGAAGAGTCTTTCTCTTCTCTGTTTTTCCACTCAGAAACTACATCTACACCTGCTCCAGTACACCATTGTCCGCTGGTGCATTTATGAAGTGCTATAGTAACGCCTTCTCTGGTTTTGCGTATACTCACAACACCGTGTAACGGGTAGAGTATTTGGAGGCAGAATATGTAATGTACGAGCTAAATCACCGTTCACTTCAACACTGACGATTCAATCTTGACATGAACACGATACGCGAACCGCCCGATCTGACACTTGCAAAAATGTTTCCAGCAATGTGTCTGCGGCTCCGCATCACTTCCTCCCGGTCCCCATTCTCGTCAATTTCTCATCGCGTCTAGATTGAAACGATGGACCACGTTAGGGCACTTCTCTGTGGATTTGACACCTTGAGAGCCCAGTTCAGCTGCATGAAACAAGAGCCCCCCGGATGGGATCCTTTGTTTCCTTTACAGACGCTTAGCGGTCGTTTCAGGTGCCCAGTTGGCGGGGAGCGGCTGAGAAGCCGGATTGTTTCACAGCTGGTCTAGTGAGTTGACTGGACCAAGACCGATCTGATAGTATTGTCCAGTGCCAAAATTAATTGAGAAGAAGGGCGAGAAGGAGAAGCACATCGAAAGTGTGAAAAGTCGTGATGAGTTGAATCACATCAAATGCAGTGCAACGAATTGGAATTCGCTGAGCCGAAAGAAGCCCGCAGTGGAAACCCAAAAATGTTCCGCAAAGTGGTGCGGCACGTGATGCTCCTCGAATAGGAACTGCACAACAGAGGACCTTTTGTTAAGCTTGCTTGTCGTTGTCAACGAGCTCGAATTCGAACTCGGCTTGAGTCGGTCCTTTTGCCCGCTCCATCTCGCCGTCGAAAAAGCCCTCGACTTTTGTGCTTGTGCTACATGTCGTGGTTCTCCCTCCGAGCTGGTCTCTTTCGCAGCACGAATCGCACCATCACAAGCTACTGCTCCAGGCGGGGCTTTGCAACAATCAACCTAAACACCATGGCTGGCACTCGCGATCCCACCACCCTGTCCAACTACGGCGCTTGGCGCACGAGACACACCACTGCCAACTTCAACATTGACTTTGAGAACAAGCGCCTCAGGGGATCCGTGGTGCTGCAGCTGGAGAGCCAGACCGACAAGCAGAGCAACGAGATCATCCTCGACTCGCGCTTCGTCAACGTCTCGTCCGTCAACGTCAACGATGCTGCGTCCCAGTGGGAGCTGAAGCCGCACTCGGACCCCTTTGGAGCGCCGCTGCATGTGCAGGTTCCCGATGGCGCCGCCAAGGGCGAGATCGTCAGCCTGGCCATTGAGCTGGAGACGACCAGCAAGTGCACTGCCCTTCAGTGGCTGACGCCCGCTCAGACGTCCAACAAGAAGCACCCGTACATGTTCTCCCAGTGCCAGGCCATCAACGCTCGCTCCATCTTCCCCTGCCAGGACACTCCTGACGTCAAGTCTACCGTCAGCTTCAAGTTCACCTCCACTCTCCCCGTTGTTGCCAGCGGTGTTCCTGTTGGCGACCACACTGCCACCCCCGGCGTGGAAAAGGTCTACGCGTTTGAGCAAAAGGTCCCGATCCCTTCGTATCTGTTCGCCGTTGCCTCTGGTGATATTGTTGCTGCCCCCATTGGCTCCCGCAGCAAGGTCGTTACCGGCCCCAATGAACTCAAGGGCTGCCAATGGGAGCTCGAGCGGGACATGGACAAGTTCCTGGAAATCGCTGGGAGCATCGTCTTCCCTTACAGTTGGGGAGAGTACAATGTGCTTATTCTGCCCCCCAGCTTCCCTTATGGAGGTTAGCATCGACTGTGCATTGACAAGCTTCGGTAGCTGTTCTAACACTCATCTTAGGCATGGAGAACCCCATCTACACTTTTGCTACCCCCACCATTATCAGCGGCGACAGGCAGAACGTCGACGTCATTGCTCACGAGCTTGCCCACAGCTGGAGCGGTAACCTGGTGTCCAACGCCAGCTGGGAGCATTTGTAAGTATCATGAGCTGCTCATTTAAGATTCATGAGATTAATCTGACAAATACGGCAGCTGGCTGAATGAAGGCTGGACGGTGTACCTGGAGCGACGAATTGAAGCTGCCGTCCACGGCGAGCCCCAGTTTGACTTTTCCTCCATCATTGGATGGAAGGCCCTCGGTGAGTACACACGTTGTGACTGACATACGCGAACAAATCTGACATGAAGTCTAGAGGATGCTGTTGCACACTTTGGCAAGGACCACGAGTACACCAAGCTCATCATTAGCCACGACAACGTAGACCCTGAAGATGTCTACAGCACTGTTGCTTATGAGAAGGGCTTCCACTTCCTTTACTACTTGGATCGTCTCGTTGGCCGAGATAACTTCAACAAGTTTATTCCCCACTACTTCACCAAGTGGGCTGGCAAATCTCTGGACTCGTTTGAGTTCCGGGATACCTTTGTAGACTTCTTCGACAACCTCGGTGATGAAGAGGTCAAGCAGAAGGTGGCCACCATCGACTGGGAGAGCAAATTCTATACCCCTGGCTTGCCTCCTAAGCCCGAGTTTGACACCACCCTTGCTAACCAATGTTATGAGTTGGCTGAGAAGTGGAAGGATGCTGTGAGTCTTCTCTTTGCTCTCCCTCTTCTTTCGCCTTCGCCTCTTTTGCTCGAGTTATGCTAACACTGCGAAATATCTAGTCCTATGAGCCCAATGCCAAGGATGTCGAGTCCTTCTCTTCCAACCAGAAGATTGTTTTCCTCGAGAAGCTGCAGCAGTTCGAGCCTCTGAGCACCGAACGTGCCCAGCTCCTCGGCAGCGCCTACGATCTCCTAAACACCCAGAACGTTGAGCTCAAGTTTTCCTACCTTCAAATCGCCCTCAAGGCCAACGACGACACCAGCTACCAGAAGACTGCCGATTTGCTCGGAAAGGTCGGCCGCATGAAGTTTGTTCGACCCTTGTTCCGCTCCCTGAACAAGGTTGATCGCAGCCTTGCCCTGGAGACCTTTGCCAAGAACAAGGAATTCTACCACCCCATCTGCAGGGGTATGGTGGAAAAGGATCTGGGTGTCTAATTGTCTCCTATTTATAGCAAACAAGTAAAAAAAAAGAAGAGAAAAGAAGGATATGGAATTCTTTTTCCCCACCCATACACGTAGTATACCTTGTCGTGATACCATGTCTGCTTTTGTATGCCTACGTGACGATAAGTTGCCTACTCTAACCAAGCTGAAGCCTTCATGCCTTCCGACCACTTTTGCCCCTCTCTTCTCTCAAATTTCTCCAAGCTGTGAACATCTGCCGCGCCAAAGTTGCCGTACAGATGCGGGAACCCGTCATCCCATTTCAGCGGGTCCGCCAGCTTTGCCAGCTCAAGCTTGATGAGCCACAGCTCCGTCGCCTCAGTAAAGAACAAGTCGGCCGTGTTTGGGACCTGGATTACCGCATAGATTAGATGACGAATCTTGGTAACATAATCAATTTGTAACAATGAGGTTTGTTGTATTTACCTGCGTAGACGTGCTCAGGTGCACGAAGCCGTCGTTTGCATCGAGTTGTGAGAAGGGAAACTGCTCGGGCAGCGGGTCTTGAGGGGCGGCGGGCAAGATTTTGTAGATGAACTTGGGGGGATTGGCGGCAGACATTTTGAAGCGAAGACTTGATTTTTTCAGTGAGTAGTTGGGCAGGCGAGTTGTGAGATGAGTTGATATAGGGATGGATGTTTTGAATGGAAGAAAAGCGCCAATATCAGCTTATCGGAAGATAACAGCACGGAATGCGGGGCATTGCGTCCTTGACTATTATATCATTGAATCAGAAACTAAGTTTTGTAAATATTAAATAAATTGGCTATTATATATAGATAGATTGCTGAGTTGTAACACGGTTAAAACAAAACCTAATTTAATTCAAGTTGAGAGCTTGGCAAAAGGCGACAAGAAACTGTCTGCAACCACAGCCAAGCAGGTAATAGTTGCTGGAATGAAAACTCGTATATACATGTACGTGTACCTACCTTAAGAAGATCTCCCTACCTTCGTAGTTTCGAGATTCTATAGCCCACTTTCCAAAGCCTTATCAGTATCTCTCGGTTTACTATTCTCCATATGTCCGCAATACTCTTACTACTAAACTCCATCATCTTGTCGTCTGGTGCATCCATGGTGAGAAACTCCAGTTCGCCATCACTAAGCTCAGGCCTTGCTACAGGCGCCTCGACATCTACGGAGCACAATCTGCTTTCGCCCGGTTGCCAGCCCGGGGTGAAAACCCGTCCAATGCAGCCAATGCAGCAGAACTTCAAGCCAAAGAGGCGCCCTTCGTAGGGCTCTGTGATGACAATGCAGTTCTGTTGAATATCCCACAGGTTTTCGTCAGGGCGGTACTCGGGAGGTAGCCACAGGAGCTTTTCACCTCGAAAGTTGATCCAGGAATTGGACTGGTCGATGGTGAGATCGGTGTCGTCTCTTAAATGAACAAGTTCTTTATTTAGTTGCTCTGCCGGCTCTGAGCTCTTTTTCGTTTCCAGTATGACTCGGATATCGCGCTGGTCAAACATGTCGAGGATCAAATGACTTTCGTCCAGGAAAGATAGCCGCTTAAGCCTGACTGGCTCTGTAGTGGACCGAGAAGAACTGCTGGGTCTGATTTGAGGAGACGGGCCTCCGGTAGAAGATTTCAAGTCGTCGCCGCAGATGCTCTTGGAAAAGACTCCTTTGCGAGAAGCAACGTCCCAAACTTCGATTCTCGTGAGATTTCTTTCAGTAACATGCCATGAAAATGCCAGAAGCTCGCCGCTTGGTGAAAAGGCAAGAAAAGTTCTCCACAGCCTCTCATCTTGGCCCTTCAAAAACTCCAGGTAGATAAAACGCTGCGATGTATCGACATTCCAAATCTCAACCTTCACCTTGGCCCGTTCCGAAGTCTCGAGACTGGTATAAGCAACAGCGAGATACTTACCGTCTTTGGAGAAGAGTACCGTGTAGCCATAGCTTTCGCTGTAATGTTTGTGGTTGAGGAGCTTCTTCGTCTTTGATCCCGACGATACGTCCCATACTCCAAGCTTGCCGTCCAGCAAGCAGGCTAGCTTTCGCGAATCCGGGGAGAATGCAAGGGCACAAGAATTTCCAAAGCCGCGTACTCGATAGATACAAGTCCTCTTCTGGAACAAGGTATCGCAGACAACTATCATTGGCACCCTGCCCCTTGTGAATGTGGCCAGCTGTCTCCCATCGGGTGAAAGTACGGCACCTTTGTATGCTGAGGTTAACTGCTCGATATGGCTGGTGCTTGGATTCTTCCGGGATGGCTCTCGTGAACCGAGTTCCACAACATTAATGACGTTTTGACTGGCAACATATATATTATTTCCGTCTTGCGCATATGGGAATGCCATGTCGCCAGGTTCAATCTTTTGCGTCGATAGCATTTTTCCAGTAGCGGCATCGAGAACATCAACCTTGTTGCAGTCGCATAATGCAAGTCGCCCGTCTCTTGATACGGCGAGATGGGGAGGGGAAAGGTCAATATCTATTGGAGATTTCCATAGCGTCGCACCCGTTGCCACGTCAAACATCGAAATGCAGCGCGACTTAGACATTGCATGCACAACTATGAGATGGCCACTCTGCGAAAATCTTATCGCTTCGGTTCGTAGACATGTGAAGCATTGCAAATCTTGAAGTTCGTTGTTCACGTTCAAACTGTATACTTTGACTTCGGGGCCATGTACGTTGGAGAACCCAGACCATGTTGGCGTTGCTGCAAATGTTCTGCTGTCCTTGGGAGACAACGCGACAAGATAATGAACCTCTTGTTCCGTTAGAGGGAATTTGACCAGATTGGTCATCTCCCCAGTCTTTGTGTTATAGAACGAGATGTCCATAGATTTGCCGTCCTTTGTGTGTGAAACGCATCCTAGTTCATTTTGTACCGAGGGTAGCAGCGAAAGCATCCTAATGAATTCTGTTTCGGGAAGCTTGATTTGCTGCAACATCTTGCCTGTGATGATATCCCAGACAATAATCTCGTCCATGTGGAGACCTCCACATGCTATCTTGTTGCTGTTCCATGGAGAAAAGCTTATGCTTGAATACGAGTGAGTTTTCATGCTTCGTATCAATCTTCCTGTCTTGGTTTCCCAAATCTTTATTGTCTCATCCTCGGATGAAGATGCTAACCATGTTCCGCAACGAGAGACGTCGAGGCTGTTAATAGCGTCCGTATGGCCATCAAATCTTTGTAGGTATTGGTTCCAGCTCATTTCTTTTTTGGGAAGAAGTTGAATACATTTTGGAGACTCTTTTGTGAACAGCCTATGTGTGAGACTTTGTGTTGGGCTGAATAGTAAGCCAGACATGTATACCTGTAGAGGGAAATCTGCTACAACGTTTCCAAACATCTGGATAAATCGGTAGTTATCCTGGACAAGGTCTTTTAGTCCCGATACTCGTTCGTCAATCTAACAAGATGAATCAGTAAAATGACTGTATATATGATTCGGTGATGATACATACAATTAGGCTCTTGAGCCTCTGTAGATCCTCCATCCCAGTAAATACGGACTTGAGAAGACTAAGAGCTTCTAGCCAGTATACGTATTTTTCACTAAGGAAAGTATACAGCATCTTATGTATTTCTGTGTTGTCTGAAGTACCCAATGCAGATTCGGCCACCGATTGCTCGAAGTGATGAATCCAATAGACACAGCAATACGCGACGGAGGTGAGCGAGCTAGATTTGACTTGATCCAAGGTGATTTGATTCGCCATACACCCGGGATTTTCCAGGCCATACATATTTCTCCTTAAAGTATTGTTCATTGCAGATATACAATGATTGAAGATGTTTGTATGAACAAGCCTTAAACCGTCGGGGAATAGTTGAGCTGATGCCTCTGTGACCAGAAAGTCTTTGGCCGACTGATGCACAAAATAGACTATACCATCTCTCAAAGTCAGGAATGAGCCACAGTAGCCCAAAATGTCGCCCCAGACCAGTTCCAGAGACTGTCTATGATCCTCAGAAGTGTCGACAAGGGAATTAAATTCTTTCATAGTGAGAGGTCGGCGTGAGACAGTAGCAATAGCGAGGATTTTCCTTCCTTGGCCTGATACTTTGAGGTCGCACACTTTGGTGATCATTCGCCCATATAAACTGTTTAGTTCTGCTGGAAACTCAGATGGCTTCGGCAGGGGATCAGAACGAGAAGCCCCCTTGAGTTGTGCGCAAACCAAGGCCACCCAGAGAAATGTGCCATTTGCGTTTTCATGGAGATACCTTTCAACCTTGGATTCCTGATCTTGCGTATATTGCTTTAGCTTGGAGAGCGCCTGCACTTGATGGTTGATGTAATCTGCGATCGCCTTAGATACCGAACCGGCGTTGAGTTCGAGGCTTATAGCGCGTTTATTTTTGGTTGTTTCTAATGCGTTTATGATGTCCTGTTCGTTGCGACTTGATAACAACCACTTTACTTTCGAAGAGGGCGATGATAAGTCTTTCGCTATCAAATCAAGAAGCTGTGATAGATCTGTCCTGCATTCATCAAGTGCATCGATAATGATGATTGGACTTTGTAGAGTAGGGTCGTTGACAAGATTCAGAAATATTTGCGAAAGAGAATACCAGGAGTTCGTATCCTCGAATAGCTTTTTTCCTGCCTTTTCATACCCATCTCTCATGTGTGAGAAGAGTACAGGTTGTCGGCCGATGATTGTGTGTAATAAGCCACGCAGGATCGAGGTCGCGTTATCAAGACGAGAGTCTGTTGCCTGACATAGAAAGTGACAAACATTTCTGGTCGGCCTGTCCTTCTTTAACTCATCAATGATGCCACATAACAGCATTGTCTTTCCCTTTCCAGGGCCGCCTTTAATCCACAGTAGACGGGACTCGGCATTGTCACGCCATTGAAGATAATTCTCATTCGTGAGAATCCAATTGTACGCCTTCTCAAACAATCCACCCTTTGTGCTTTCAATACGTAGTTTGTCAGCCTCGGGATCTGTTATGAATAAGTCTTTGAGACAAGCATCGTACACTTGGCGATTCCTCATGATGTGTGTTTTGTCCGTGGAAGGGTAACGCTCAATAAGTGCTCTGGTGGTTGATGCAGCCGTTGCAGCGGCAAAGTTTTGCCAATGATTCCAACTATTGTTCTTATGACCGTCTCCGTAGCCGCTTACGCCTTTGACAATGACACAGGGCAGCTCATCCCAGGCTCCGGCGCTTCCAGTCTCGAGAGCTATAATGTCCAGCTCTCGAGCGATCTGGTCACGGTATATTCCTGACATGGAAATTGTGTCTCCAGACCCAACTCTTCCGAAGAACACAAACCAACCCCGGTTGACTTGCAACCGTTTCGTATCTTCAAAGCGCTTTCGAGGCAGCTGGCGATTGTAGTCACAACCAGCCTCCTCGCATGGTAACTCTTTAGATGGGTCATCCATGCATGCACATTTCGGTAAATGATGGCACTCGTGATAGTATGTAGACTCGAAAAGAATGTCATTAGCTGAGCCAGGATACTCGTAAATCACTTTATTGACAGCCTCCTTCTGAATCTGCGCCAGATGAGCTGCCGCTCTCTTCTCCAGAGCCTTGCGATGTGGCCTAGTGCTCATGGCGGCGATGAAGTTCCGAACATCTCTAGATGGCCTGCCAAGGCTGTCTTCAACGGCCGTCTTGATGGCGAGTTTGTCGGAGTAGAGGCGGCCGAGGTCATATTGGACGATGCTCTTACTGATGACGACATCTCCTAGCGCAAGCTCTCCGTCTTCACCCTTTGTGCCTGGGACGCCATCGCAGATTCCGGTTATGAAGATGAGCTTGAGATCGTGATAACTTGAGCGGAGGCTGGTTGCTGCTGCTGCTGCCGAAGCCTTGCCTCTATCGCTTAGCTTCAAAATAACAACATTGAAAGATCCGATGCGGCCTGTGACATAGAAGTTGAAGTCTCCCTCGACTCTGCCAAATGTATACCCTTCCGCGTCCCAGCAATCATCTAAAAGGAGGCATATAGCGGTGTAGTCGAGATCTGTTGAGCAAAGTATTCCGATTTCAAAGTCGCTACGACTTATTGGAGCCTGACTAAAGGCTGCCATCTTCCGTAGCAGAGTAAAAAAGTGGAAAACGATAACACGGCTTGACTAAAGTATAGAAGCTGCGTGTCGATATTTGAAATGATGATATCATTAGCCCTGCAAATACGGAGTATAAAGCAGAAATAGATCAAGTTGCCACAAACTTATCATTATATGCATCTTACTCGCATGCATTGATGCCCAATTAATGCCCTGCTAGTTACCTACCCTTATTCAGTCGTGTGATTCTATAGAGATTTGCAAAGCAGTGAAGCGTGAGGTCTCATTATTCCATGAACAAAATTGTCTCCAACCACAGCTACAACACCACTCAGGAATATTGTAATGCCTCTTTTCGCTCAACATCTACATAAAAGAGAGTATCTCTTCTGAATCCCGTAGAAGTAGAACTAATTAGGCAAAAGTGCAGAAATGATTCATCACTAGTTCATTGGTGGAAGTTAGTGGATGCTTGCAAGGAACCCCTGGAACTGCTGGCACGTCCCAAAATCTCAATACGTGTATACCTGTTCGGTGCCATCCAATTAGCTGGCACAGCTCCAAGAGCTCAAACGGTTTCCCTAGTTTGTAAATGTAGCTCCAGTACGATTCCAACAAGGTGCCAGCTGCTGCTTTCCGCCTTCTCTTGGTTTTAGCCTCAGGATGCCTAGGTCGGTCTAAGGCCATGCGGCTGGCTTTGGACAAGTCCAGTATTCATGTGGAAAGTACCAACTTATAATCAGTATCCTTGGCTAGACCAAATCTCAAATCAGATGCTGCTGATACCAACTTGGCTTTTTTAGCCTCGAGAATATTCAGCAACACAGCTAGATGTCTCATGTTAGGCCTAAATGGATTGTTATACTGATTCTGACAATGGCTTACTTGAGAGGTGCCAACGCGGTTCCATAACATGTAAAATGCCCGTGAGACTTTCAATCTTAGCTTTGGTGTCTGCATCGGGATCCCCAAACCCAACCATTATGAACTGGGCCGTGGTCTGGTATATCATTTGCCGAAACAACGTCGAGAGTTCACCCGCGATCCTCGAAATAGGTGGATCTACACAACCCACATCTGGGTCTTTGGCCATGATACAGATGGCTTCCCAGGCAGATTTGGTCTCGTAAAAGATGGTGCTTCGTATTTCTTGCGCAGTTGTGGCGCCAATTTGTTTCCAATGATATTCTTGAAGCAAGAAGAGAGCACTGGCAAGATTAGCTTAGGCTTACATCGACAATGTCCTTTTTTCTCTCTCTGTTGCTTACATGTAGCAAATGGCAGATGCGGGACAGTACTGCAATTTCCGGACTGCGGTCCATTTCTCAACCGCCTGTACATATGCGTGCAGTGTACGGCGCAGTTGTGCTGTATCTTCTTCGAGGCGGATGGTATGACTTCCTCCATATTGTGAAAGAGATGCCGAAATGGATTTGATTGTCTGGCCAAGCAAATAGGTTGCTTGAGCAAGGCCACCAAAGAGGCTCGTCTTTTGATTGAATCCAGTGGATATCGTGATGGCATCTTCCGGCCGAAAGGTCTATGAAATGTCAGTCAATTTCATCACTAACCCTCACGATCAAAGTAACCGGCTTACACCATCGTTAAAGTCCTTGTCAGTTATAGGTAGAAAACTGTCGAACGTTGGTTCTTCTGTCGCTAAAGGTCGGCTCGGGTCTCCTATATTCAGGAGTCTTTAAAGATTCTTAGTTGTATCGCCACGAAATGTAGTATGATTTAACTCACCGATCTAGCATCAGGACGGCCCACCAAACACGTCTGTGCTCTTCGATGTCTACCCCTGAAAGCCCAGGTTTACTGTCCCCAACCCGACCTGTCATCAGTTTGTTCAAGCCCAAGGCAGTCCCATATCTAGCGCAAGTACCCACACTCAGGTATGCGGAGGGATAAATAGCCTGGTCGATCTCATAGATTGCAATGAATACCGCAGCCTGGAGAATATGCACAGACATCGGACCAGTGGCCTCTACATCCGCGTAAAACGTCTTGACCAACTGATAGAGCGGCCATCGTTCGTCATTACCATTCTCAGAGGCTGGTGCGCAGTAAAGTTTCATCGTCAGAGCCAAGAGGATGAGGCCTCGCCGATAGGGAGAAATCGGGTTAAGTGCATCAGCATAGAAACGTTTCCTGCAAACAATGGGCATCCAAAGAGATGTCGCCTGGAAGAACTTTGCTCCTATCTCGTATACCTGATCGGGGTGGCCGACATGGGCTGCAATACTGCTAGGAAGGGAGACATCTTCAGAGGGCGGCCCTAATGAAGCATCGCGATAGACACTGGGCTCAATGAAGCGAATAGCGGTGGCAATATGCGTTGTCCTATAGTGCCGAGCTATAGTAGCGACATTTGGAGTCGGGAGAGTTGACTTTGTCGCCTCTTCTCTCTGAGTCTCTTGAGTCGAGGCAGGTATCTGACCACGACGACGTGGGTAAGTACAAGGGGTGTTCCGGCGAATGCACAACTTGCAGGCTGGCAGGGTCTTATCGCAACGTCTCTTGTGTTGTCGGCAATATAAACACGCGTATTGCGCGCAAATGGAATACGGCTTCAAAGGGTCCATCGAGAAGCATCTCCGTAGATCAGTATCCTGGATAGTGAGAAGTCCAGCACTCGATAAGATGGTGGAAGCGGGCGAGCTACTCCGTACTTATGCGGCATTGCCGCATCGGAGTCCGACTTTCCCACCAAATTTGACCGCCCTAGCAGACGCTCGAGAAAGCATTCAAGGCCCACCTGAATTCATATTCTAGGTCAACGGAAGATGATTTGACCAATGCGTACGTATTGTCTCCACATGATGAACTACAATTGCTTATGTTGCTTATCCAGTTCTCTAGACTTGATCCGCCACTGTAAGCAGTAGCACTAGAATCGAGGCTGTCTCCATCGTTCTCCTGCTCAGACTGCTCTCCAAGATGACTCAAGGTTTTTTTGTGCATGAGTTGCCATTGCATTCTAAAGAGTTATCGCCCCGGACCATTCAAATTCCAATATGTTGCCGACTCGTATCTGTTAAATTGTAACTAGATCCGCGAAGCGTACCAAACGGTCTTACATACTTGTACGGATGGCTAATACGAGGAGAGGGCCTACTGTGTGCGACCCACTGTGAGCAGCCTTGTGGATTGTGTTTGACAAGGCATTCACTGGTTCGACATCGAGGAGCAATATAAATTGTCACAAGCTACACTAATACGGGAAGAAGCTCCAATATCCATGGCTCCTTGCAGGTTTAGCAAGAAGTTATATACGTGCGCCAACTTAACCTAGGGCAAACACATATATTAAGTCATAATGACAGTTACATAGCTTGAGAACAAAGCGCTATGCGTATCCAGCTGTTCAAGACAACGATTTCCATGTATCGCTTCGCTCTCTTCATCTGCACAACAATACGCGGTAATATGCATTGGCATGCATGGCTCCTTACCACTGCAGCTCTGCTTACGCCTAAAGATAGCTAGACCTCAAAGAGTTCGTATTCTGATAGTATGGCATCCACTCTAAGAGGCTATTGATCAGACAGTGTGCAAAACAACGTGTGGCATTCTACCTAGCAAAGTACTTAAACTCAAATATATGCAATGAGATAAAAGGGAGCGTGTGTTTATATCTTAGTGGAAATATTGTCGATCGCACAAGCCAAATCATAGCTCACAGGAAAGCGAATGGGAGGAGGAGTCTCGTGATATAAGTAAACTGTTCGAACACCCCGAAGAAATCCTCCAATAAAATTGAATCATTTACGTATGACTAGACAATCCCAATGTTGATAAGTTCTACATAACAACCAGAGTAGCATATGATGGCCAGCCAAGGTAGTCCAGCCGTCCCTAGTTTTTGCATAGAATTAGAACAGTTGCTGTCCCAAAATATAACGACCAACTATATTTTTGTTATAATTGATCTACCAACACCATATTCTTCAAGGAAGTTTCCTTTGCACGCACTCCACAGGCTGGTGCATGTTTGCCAAGTAGAGGATACGATGAAAGCGTATATAGCCCCCTATTTGGGACTGGACTCTCAAAGCCATTGGCTACATAGCGTAATGGCCGCACTCCTGTCTCGTAGTCATCCCACCGTGGAATCAACCGCATATCTGATCACCGAATTTGCGGAAGGGCCGCACTCCACCGCAGAGGACCGAAACGAACTGTGGAGTAAGGAACAAACCCCGATATAGACGGCATTTTAAAGCCAGCCCAGTGGGGATTGGGCTACGCTGACCCCAGTTGTCCTTCTTATTGTATCGAGTTTGATGCTACCTAGTCGGGACGAGATTTTAAAGAGCCTTGTAATTGACCATAGCCTGCATGTACTCTTAGTACTCGTAGGTGGCACGCTGACACCAGGCTTATAGTTTCAAAACACTTATAAAGGCCAACTCAACCACCGTAGACTATTCTCAAATACGCCGGGCAAAATATAATACCAATTAGTCGAGATCATGGCTCAAGTGATTCTTTACGATAATCCTAGTCGTTTTGGGACGGGGACATGTTGGTCACCCAATGTATGGAAGAGTGAGCATCGGTAGCTCCAAATCGCAGTAGAAGTCTCACCACTAATCATCAACCTTAGCACGACTTCTTCTTAATTTCAAGGAAATAGACTACAAGACTGAATGGCTGCATGGACCAGACGTCGCGCCCACCCTCCGATCGTTGTGAGTCACGCCATGTAGATGGTATATATGGTTGGGTAGCTTATGGATGGGTAGTGATATTACCGCTCATATTTCAGGAACTCAGTTGGCCGATTATACCTTACCCGCGGTTCGCCTCCCAGATGGCTCTTATGTCATGGAATCACTGAGCATAGCGCAGAAGCTAGAAGCTCTCAAGCCAGAGCCGAGCGCCCAAGTCGATCACCCAGTGGCAAAAGAAGTTGCGCAGAGCCGCAAGCGTCTAATGATGTGCCTTGCTCCCGTGCTTGATCCCAGGATGCCCAGGGAATGTTTATCGGGCCCTACGATTGCATTTCATCGACAAGCACGAAAGAAAATCTACGGCATGACCCTCGAAGAGCTAGAGGATAGGTATGGAGGGCGAGCAGCGTGGACCAAGGCCCAACCATTGCTAGATGAGCTTGCTGGGATCTTGAAGAGGCAGAAAGGGCCTTTTTGTCTGGGGGGAGAGACGCCGAGTTACGCAGATTTCATCATTGTGGCCTTTTTGGAATGGTGCCGGTGCCTCCAAGGAGGCCCTTTTGAGCGGATTGTTGGCAACGAGAAAGCCTTTCATGATCTCTACATGGCTTGCCGTCCTTGGCTACAGCGAAATGACCACTGAGAGCTACCTCTCGCTTCCTCTTGACTCATTACTCAACACATGATAGTTACGACTATTGGTTCTGTATAATAAGCAACGCAAAAGTTATTAGCGTGTATCCAGTCTGTCAATCAAAATTTATTTAACAAGATGGCTCGATGAGGTTATTGAGTTTACTCGATAGACTCGCCTTCTGAGCAATCGAGGGCGCCCAGCTAACAGAGTACATGGTTGATGTTGATACATCAGTTAAATAGCTCAAATAGTCGGCGGTTAATACATGATTCATGATATGATACGCTGAGAAGTTTATCGTATAAAGGGGACTCAGTACTCTTGTCGTTTATGCAGGTATGAATAGGGGCTGTAGTGATGATATATCTCTTGGTGTGAACCAGCTTCTAACCGGATTAGTAGCTGCGGGCACGGGCTACACTCTTCCAAGGGGGTTGCAATAGGAGGTCTAAAGATCGGGTGGAAAGTATACTAAAGAAAAATCCGTTGTGATAAGAGGGAACTGTGTTTAAATGCCTATGATTGATGTCGTATTGTATTTAGTCAAAGAGGTGGTGTCTCAGCGGGGGTTTACAAGCAGCTGCAACGGTGGCGCCCGGATTACCGCACAGTAAAGCGAAGATTCTTAGCGCGGGGTTCTGTGAAAGTTGAGCTCCCTCGGCTTGGACAAGCCACTGTGCATCCCTATCGAGGCTTCGTTATGAATTCTTACACTTACACTTCCCAATGAAAGCGTCTTGAGCATCACAGAGAAATGTCGTGGGGGCCCATCCCTTCTCGGCTCCGTCTGCTCTCTCAGCTGAAAGATGCGCCTGTCGGTGACAAAGTGAGATTCTTGGGATGGTACGTCAGAATCTCTTCCCCCCTTTGGCCCCTCCACTGCTTAAGTCCGCGACAGCGTCACTTCATACGACAGCGCAACGGCATGCCTCAACCTAGGCCACATGTACCCGCCCGGCACCAACGAGGCTGTGCGGGTAAATATTGAGCTGGTCCTGGAGACGATTCAGTCAGGAGTCACACAGGTTGGGCAATGGGTCAATGTTGTGGGGTACATTGTCGAGGGCAGTGAGCCGCCTGTGCATGTCCAGGCCCTGTTGCTGTGGCCGACGGGCCCGTTGGACATTGGCAGATATGAAGAGAGCCTGCAGGAACAGACGACAGGGTGCTGACGGACGTTGAAGGACGGGGGAAGCCTATGGATGTTGATATGCCAGGCAGTTGAGCTCTTACTGTAGTGCGTTGACGTGGAACAAAACAATGACAGACTCCAGAGTTGACGGCATAACAGAGGAGAAGCCACGCCACGAGGCAGTGGGGCGCACAAGCATACATGTTTGATGCCCTTTTTCTACGTGATGCCTCAAGACATCAACGCTACAGTCTACCTAGATCATGTATCAACACGCGCGGAGTCCCTTGTGGTGGTTGACATCCAGGGGACCTGGAGTCAGTCAACGCGAAGCCCCTAAATGTGCCCCATGGAGGGGGAGCTGGAAGCTTCCAGGTTGTCTCTCCGTCCCCTAATCCCACCGTCAGTCAGCGATAAAGCCCGCCTGTGCAGTGAAGAGCGGCGGCTAATCTGCGGGGCCCAGCGTTGACAAGCTCAGGTTCAATACATGTAGACCGCAAACTCACCATCCCCTGGCCGCAACGAGTACATGTGCATGCACCCAGACGCTCTCCGCTCCAATCAAGATCAAGACAAGAGAAGAGAAGAGGGCCGCTCCGCCGCAAGGAGGTTCGACATCAGCGCGACCGCGTTTCTTTTCTCCTGGCGACTCTTCCTTCGACTTCGACTCGACTCGACTCTCCCGCTACTCGGAGCGAGGCTGTTTGTACCGATCAACAGACGCTCTGGTGACCGCCTAGGCACAACCGCAAAGGCTCAACGCATCTACGAAGCAAAGCGGCCTTGCGCCATCGACTCGGCGCAACCTTTGGGAACCGTTCCGTCCCGTCCCGTCCTGTCCTGTAAGCTTGAGCCTTTGCGACCGCCGCTTGCGAACGCTCGACCTCGGGAAAATCGGGGCTCCCGCTGCCGCCCACGAAGAGGCCACAAAGAAGCTACAGCTTGAGCTTGAGCATGGACAGGAAGCCTTGACGCTCGTCTCGACTGTTCCTGTTCCTCTGCCCTTGTTTTCTATTCTTTGATCTTTTTTTTCTCTTGCCTTGCAGACACATGGGGGCGCTGTTCCGCTAGCTTCTCCTCATCGTATCGCTGGGACGACTCAACTCACCGACTCGGGCGCATTGCCCACAAAACCGCGCGGCCGTCGAGGGGACCAGCCTAGGTCCCCGCATCCGTTCGAGCAGTCATGGCGCCAGCCGGAGGAGGAAACATCAAGGTGGTGGTGAGAGTGCGGCCGTTCAATGGCAGAGGTGGGTTCACAACTTACGCAGCCGTCGAGCGGTTCATCCTAGGCCGTCTACGGCGAGCCTTGGAAAGTCGAGACGAGGGTTAACAGCTTGGCTACAGAAATCGACCGCGGATCAAAATGTATCGTG